GTAGATGCGAGCTCAATTTCGGTTCTTTGTACAATAGATTATACTAGTGTCCTACACTCCGATTGCCCGCACTTGTGTTCGCAATTTACCTCATTTATATCACACTTTGATACTAACATTCAATATAACTAAATGACATTAGTTATAACTAAACGTTATTAAATAAAATTAAAAACTAACTTTAGGTTAAGTATAAAGGTAATTATGTTATTTTTATTTGCTACATTTAAATTGATATTCATTTTAAAAAAAAAATTAGACATATTTTATTAATTTTAAGTAGATTTATAAATATTTATTACCTATTTTAGTTTTTAAATTTATAGTTACAGTAAATTTATTTTATTTTAGTTTTCAATGATTGCTTTCACTTCCACAATAGAAAATTATTTTAAATTCTAAACCAATACAAAAATAATTCACACATGAATTAAGTTTTATTTTTATCATAATATACAAAAATAAAAGTAGGAGAAAATAAATATTGTAAAAGCAAAGAACTCTACAATAATTTTCTGCGCTTTTTCAATAAAGCACATGTATTTATAACATTTTTAAAGTCAATTTTTTGTGGTATATTGCGCTCAATGCTCAATATAGCCAAATTTGATAGTCGAACTTCAGTTATAGTTGAGCGAAAATATGTTTTAAGAAGTTTAAGCCGGCTGAAACTTCTTTAAGCGATTGCACTGCTGACTGGGTGTATATAAAATATTTTATACAAAATATATAAATTTGGATATGTAGAAACCATGTCTCGAGATATCATGAACTTTAATACTTCATTTAATTTTAAAGGTTCAGTTTCATTATAAATTTGATGCTAAATTAGAGAAAATGAACGATATTCAGCTTCTATATATATTTAAACTATGTCAACTTCATACAATTTTGATAAATGTTTAATAGAAACAAGATTTTCATCTATGTTTTCTATAGTCATTTTCTTTGGATTAAATACAAATTTTTTAGTGATCTTCAAAACGGGTTTACAACGTATTTTTAAATGAATCCAAAATAACAAAATATGTATTATGTTTAAAATTTTCATCAGCAGACTCCGTAATATTTTCCAAATTACTTTCACCATGCATTTTCTTCTTTGTTCTTTTACGTTTCTTGCGGCGTGCTTTATTGTATGAGTATTAGTATGATTTTTTTTATTATTATTATTATTGTGATAAGCGGACGATCGGTTTTACTCAGCGGAGAAAAACCAGTCTCCTAATAAATGCCTCACTATTCACATATAGAAAAGTTCGTTTTATTAATTCATAGTTAAGCGACCTAAGTAATATTATTCTCGTAAAAATTAAAATACAGTCCACAGTCGTAACAACGTTCTTGCTCAAAGTTATTTTTGCCTCCAAACTGTTCATACAATTCAATTCATTACATTTTATTTTTAAAAAATGTTCTTCATTTATTAAAGATGAAATATCTAAAACACATGTTGAAACCAAGCTAAAATAAAATTGATCAGTTCTTTCAATATTTATTTTCGAATCTACAATAATCGCAAAATACTTTGCATGTTTTATTTTATTTAATATTGTATGTAATGTTTCATCTACCATACATTTAAGTATATCATTTTAAATTTTAGAACTCAATTATGTCTCATTTTGGTTTGTTTTAACCGAGTGTTTAGCTAGAGCAGCATCATATTGTAAGAACATTTATTACTATGTTCTTATCACTTATATTACACAATATATATAATGTTTTATTTCCATTTACTTAATTCATAATAAATATTAATTAGCATAGACGGAGATGCTGATGGACAATTCTACTCGTTTGTCGCCCGGAGCTACTGACATCGAACTAACAAAGAGTCTAATTTTATTTAATAATCTATCCCATGTAACTAAGGTACATGATTGCCTGTGTCTCCTTCAGATAATTAAAACTCATTTAAGGAGATAGAGACGATATTAAAAATTTTGGGCAGACGTCGGGTAGCTTCTGATTCTTGGTTTTGACCAAGATCCTTAGCTATTAAACTAGTCCCTAACAATATTTTGACACAAGCTTCACTATTTCAATAAAAAGACCTTTACATAGTGTTTCCTAATTAATATCTTCTCTATGCCTTCTAAAAGGAAGTCCATTTGTTGTTAGAAATAAAAATAAGTCGATTAACCGTCTTAATACACTTCGATTAAGTTCTGTTTGACATTTTTCAATTTTAATTAAATTTTGTTGAATAGTCAAGTCTTTTAAGGCTCTACTTTTTAAAACTAAATATTCATTTTCTGTTACTCTGTGATCTATCGATTTTTCATGTTTAATAATTTTTTCCTATCCTTTACGAAAATTAGAAAGGCCTTGATTAGGATTAAACCATTGATAACTATGCTGAGATACAGATCGGAATAAAAAAACAAAACATTTTTACATTTATATTTAATTGCTACAATAAATTCTTTATCATAAATTATAATTTTAAATTTTAGAACTACTAATCAGGATATAATTAAAGAAATAGGAGTTGATGTAGCATTTGTAAATACTATCTACAAATTTGCTTCGAAACATTTTTCATGATAGTGATTAAAATCACAGTTAGATATCATCTATCCCACTTTCATACTTTGACGCGGCACCCAGTGGTGTATTTAGAGGTTTTCCGCCTATAGGCGCTTTCCAATTCACCACCATTCCCTCCCCATCCTACCAAAAATTATTTATAAAACATATTTGAATAAATAATTTTTTATATCATTATCTTATGTATAAAAAAAAGATACATTATTAATGAAAATAAAATTGCACGAAATATCTTTTTTTTGCTATTTACACTTTATTATACTTAAGACTATATTTTTTCTTCTACTTTTTTTCTCAGCAAATGCATAAATTAAATCATCACAATTTAAAGTCGACAGGAAATCCACTTCAATATTCAATATTGCCGTACTATTGGGTTTTTCAGTTCCCATAGTCGATCTTAAATAATTTTTAATTCGTTTAAGACATAAAAAAAACGTTAGTTATATTAAACTGTTCTAAGACATATGTCCAAAATACTGTTAAAAATGCGGTTTCCAAAGATTGTAAACTTGTACATAGACCTTTGGCTTCGTTTTTGGTAATGAATTTTTCGTTTTTATTATTCATAATAAGTGACAATGAGTTTATTATTTCTGACCATGATGCATTTAAAGCTCTACATGCATCCACGCGAGACGACCATCTAGTTATTGATAAGGATTTAAGTGTGTATGAGTTTTGCTTCATATTGTCAAAATAAATGTCTATGCGTAGATGCCGTCGCCCTACTACGAGTATTTTTGTTTGACTGACCAATACTGCGTGCCATACGCCTAACGTATATATATTTATATATTCTTACCGCCGCTGCCGCCGTTTATGCCTCAGATATAGCGTTCTCCCCGCACACCGCNCTACTATGAGTATTTTTGTTTGACTGACCAGTACTGCGTGCCATACGCCTAACGTATATATATTTATATATTCTTACCGCCGCTGCCGCCGTTTATGCCTTAGATATAGCGTTCTCCCCGCACACCGCTCACCTTAAAAACGACTATACTTCATGTATGATACATTAGTATTTCTATATACTTATATATATTAATATTTATANTAAAAACGACTATACTTCATGTATGATACATTAGTATTTCTATATACTTATATATATTAATATTTATATATACGTATATGTTAATATTCATTTATATATTCCTATAGCCGCTGCCGCCGTATATGCCTCGCGTATAACGTTCCCTGCGCCCCACCCACCCATAAAACATGGTTATACCTAGTGCATGATACGTTTACGTACTTAAGTCGCTTTACATGTACATATATATTCTAATTACTATTAAAACTATATATTAACACGCTTTATTCTCATTAAGAGATATAGAGTGTATATGATATAGAGTGTATTCATTCCGATTACAGGGGATGATTCCCGTATCGTCATTTTTCGTCACTACCTCCACGTGCCGAGAATGGGTAATTTGCGTGCCTGCTGCTTTCCTTGGATATGGTAGCCGTTTCTCAAACTCCCTCTCCAGAATCGAACCCCGATTCCCCGTTACAACCATGATTTTGATAGTAACAACTATCATAACATATGAAACTAAAAAGTAAAAAATAAATATAGTTTAAAAAAACACGCATTTAAACTATATTTTTGTTACCTATTTGCGTACTGGTTTGTACTGTATTGTGTATGTGTATAATATGTAGGTATCTGTTTTATTTTGAGCGAATGGACGCGTTTGTTTATGGTTTAACTTGTAATTCTAAATTATATAATACATAATTTGTATAAAAATAATTTTACTACTCAAAAAAAAAAAATAGTGAAATTTAATTTCATCAAAGAAAAATACTTTTTGTAATTTTCTAAAAAAATAAAACTGTTAAAATTTGCCGCCCTCCAAATTTTGCTGCTCTAGGTTTGGGCTTATAGGGCCTGTACCTAAATACGCCTCTGGTGGCACCACTGTTTTTTTTTAATTTTGATATTAAAATAATGAATTTTATAAATAGAAAAATTAATATAAATTTTTTTACCAATACATTAATTGAAATAGATAATTTTAAGTTTGCAATAATTTAGAATGTTGCAAATTTATAAAAATAATAGTGAAAAAATATTACTGTTTTATCAGTGTAAATATATTTGAAATTAATTAAACATTAGTAACCATTAATAACAATTTAATACGTATCAACCATTTGTGACGTGTTTATTTTACATTATACAGTACACCATCATATAATCAAATAGTTCATTTTGCAATTAGAAAAAAGTAACAAATTTTTAATTAAACTTAATTTCATCACATACGTATTTTAAAATAACAACTTTTATTTTCATTAAATACGTACTAAATCACTTTATAAGAATGAATTACAACATCTTTATATTTATCTTGGTAGTCAATGCATCGAATAGACAAAATAAATATGCTAAAAATGTTTATGCAATTAATTTTTTAAATTAATTTTTACAAAGAAGCAAACTTTTCATGACTATGAAAATGAAAATTATCTTTCAGTAGATGCAATATTAATTAATGAAGAAAAAATTGTTAAAGGTTACGTCGTCAATAAAAACAATGTAAAAAAAAAACTAAGAGACATAATGTTACTTATTAATAATGATTACACCATATGTTTAGCACGGATCGTGGATCACTTAAGGCGAATGATTAATCAATGTTTAAAGATTATATTTCATAAAAGAGAAAATTCATTCCATTGTGTTAATTTATTAAGAACAAGTGTTGAAAATTCTGAACAAGTTATAACACTTTTTATCCATGCAATAATTTTCCTAAAGAGTTTATTGAACGTCGAAACAAAACCATTTATTTTAATAGAATTACAAATGTTTATTACAAGGTTCAGCGAAGCAAAGTATGAAATCTTATCTTCAAAGTATGAAGAAGAATATGTATATTTACGAAAAATTGATACTGAGTCTTTAATCTATGATGACAAAAATTATACGTTGTATGAAATACTCAAAAATTATAATATTTCTATAGAGAATTTTTTAGATAACAATGATCAATGTTATCAAAGATTTTTAAATGAAAGAAATACGACGAGAGAAATGGTAATGTATTTTGAATTTTTAGAAGATAACTTAAAAAATAGTATTCTGAACATGAGAGAAACATTGTTTACTAATCTGGGCTTTTCTTATGACGAAGAAAATAAAGAAACTTCTTATGTGTCACAAATAAAAAGTTGTGTAGAGAAAAATTGCTTATTGTATTTTTAATTATTTTAAATTGTTAGGGGTACCGTGTCTCAAAAAACGATTGGAATATATGTGAATATTTAAAAAATAAAATAATTCCACAAATTATATTTCTTTATGTTTAGTTAGTTTTTTATAATGTATAAAACTATTTATTAGGATTGACAATAATCACGTATAAAAACTTTCTTATTATATGCCATTAATTGTAAATTAAATATTTTCTATACTTCTTTAAGGATTTTTTACGCAAAAAGTTGTTTGTGATTTATAAGCTTGAATTAACATTTTAATAACCTAAAACTTTTAGTCATTTAAAAATATTTGAATCAATCAATATTGCTTTATACTTTTATAGAGGTGTAAAATAAATCAATTGAAAAATTACTTTATTAGGCTACTGATTAACCGTTAGAGTGGCGGTGATTCCTCTCTGATATCTAATGAAAGCGACTATTAATAATATACGAATTATTCAATAATAATTGACATAAGTAATTAATTACTTAATTGTAATTAAGTATAGAAATTTATATGGATTATGAATTGCTGTTTTCATCATTCTTTATTCAGATTAATAACAATAGTAGTAATATAAATTCAATCGGTGTACATCACCGATTGAATTTATATACTCTTATATATACTTATAACTCTATAATTATATCGAGTGTCATTTATGATTATAAACTAGATATTGTGAACTATATTTTAAAATATTTACTATTAAAATAATGGGTCAAAAGTTGCTAATTTTTTATTTTATAAGCTAGATAATTATGTATGTTGCCATTAAATAAATAAGGTATACACCTTTATTAGATATAAGGCATGAAAATAAAAAATCTTATATATGATAAATTCAAAAATATATATAATTAAAAAATCTAACAAAAGTTTTTTTAAAGTTTCAAAAAGTTACTTTGCCGATGCATTAATTTTAATATTCAATTTTTGAATATAAATTAATTTTAAATTAAGATTTATGCCAAGCTACCCGATAAGAAAAACTCACAATAGATTTTTATTATTGAATGAATTTAAAGTTGGGATAAATTTGTTGCTATAAACAAATAAAAAAATTATTTTCGTATTAAAAATATTAATTGACATTTATATCTATTAAAAGAAAAATAAAATAATTTTACTTTAAAATAAATAAATCTATCCCGCTTTCATACCGTGTCGTAGCAACACTGTGCTATTGTTATTTTTAAATTTTCATTTTAAAATAATGAATTTTATAAATAGAAAAATTAATATAAATTTATTTACCAATACATTGGTAAATAATCATTAAGCTTGTAATAATTTAGAACGTTGTACATATATATAAAAATAAAAGTGAAAAAATATTACTGTTCTATCAGTGTATCAATAATTTGTGTTAATTAAAAAGTTAATTTTCAGATTAGAGAAAAGTAAAAAATATTTCAATTAAACTTAATTACATGACGTACATATTTTAAAATAACAAAAAAAATTTTTTCATTAATTACGTATTAAATCACTTAATAAAAATGAATTATAACATCTTTATATTTATCTTGGTAGTCAATGCAACGGAGGAACAGAATAAATATGATAAAGGGTATGCGATTAACTTTTTAAATACATTTTTAGAAAAAAGCAAGTGGAACGTTTTATCACAGTTCACTGTGTATGACTATTTAAGCAAGAGTTCGTTTTTTGCGCCTGACCTATTATTAAATAAAGAAAATTATTGTAAAAGTAACATCGTCAATAAAAAAAATGTTAACCAAAAATTTAGAGAAACAATGTTGCTTATTAATAATGAGTACACCATAAGCTTAGCATGGATCGTGAATCACATAAGATACATTGCTGATAATTGTATTTTGAAAAAATTGCGGTTTACTTCAGATGATCACACGCATTGTGTGAGCTTATTATTACCAAATATTAAGGCTTCAAAAAAACTTATTACACGTTTTATTAGTGCATTAAATTTCCTAATGAATTTGTTAAATATCAAAACCAACCCATTTATTTTAAATGAATTAATAAAATTTATTGGTTTGATAAGCAGAGATAAAAGTGAAAATGACAATGAATATGTAGACAAAATTAATAGTAAGTTCAATGAAGAGTATGTAGGAAATGATAGTAAGTTGATCAATATACTTCGATATTATCACATTGATCTATATTATACTGGTGTAAGTTATAATGATAACGCTCGTATTTTATATAAAAATAATAATAATTTACCCGATACCTTCGAAATGTATGAATTTGTAGAAGTTAACTTAAGAAAAGGAATTCAAAATAAGAACAAAAAATTGTATACTAATCTGGGATTTTTTTATGATGAAGTAAAAAATGAAACTTCTTATATTCATGAATGGGACATCGAAAAGAGAAAAAAAGGCTTATTTTGTTTTTAACTGTTAAATTGTTAAAGTCACTGTGTCTCTAACAAACGATTTCTATTATATGTGAATATGTGCTTTCATTTTTTTAAATTTTTAATAGATTAAACATTATTAATTTTTTTCTTTTATCCTTGAGTTAAAATTTATAATTTTATAAGATCAAAATAATGTATATCTAACTTGTTTTATAGTAAAACCATTCTTATTGTAACATATGATGTATTTCAAAGTAATGAAAATACGATAAAAGCAATGTATTTAAAAATTTTTTATACGTAATAAATTTTATAAATAAAAAAACTTACATGAATATATTGGCTATAAATATTTTATTAAAAAAAAAAAATTAAAGTTTATTTGGCTAGTCAGGAGTTTGATATTTAGATTTTAAATTATTTAATATATTAATAATATTTATAATATATATGATATTTATAATATTGAAAACGTAAGGACAGAAAAAATTTTTATTATAAATTAATTATAATCAATACAGAAATAAAAAATGCAATATTTTGTTAAGCGCCTTGTGTGAGTTTATTAATATCAAGTATTGATAATTCTAGCCGACTTCAATACGATTTGTTAGTGTAATATATTTTGAAAAAAGAAATTTCAAATATGTTGGTTGCTCAAACATAAATGGTTGCCTTATTCAGCAATTATGAATGCCGCATTTTGTATGTATTGTGTATTGTTTTCTGTACGAGGTGGAGGAATTGGACATTAAACGTTGGGGCAGCTTGTTAAAATATTTTTTATTACACAAAAATAAAAAGTTTAATTTTAATTTTTCAATTTTTTTTAAATGTTACAGATAATTATGTACAGCGAGTTCTGTGACAAATAATGACGACGTCATAAATTGTGTCAGAACATTGTCCGACGTCATCTAACATTGTACAACGTACTCGATAGCCGCGTTGTGGAAAGTCAAATTTTTTTCTTTTTCCGTGTGATGGTAATTGTGGCTGCGTGTGCGTCAATGTGTGGCCCTCGCTATTCTTAGCCCTATTAATTATACTTGTATAGTCTACGCGTGTACTTGTCTTTACTAACGTTAACCGTACTAAGTTAAAGTAATAGATAAATAGTAAAATATTGATACTTTGTGCGAGAAAACAAAAGTTAATTTTCCAGAGGGTGTAAGTACTAACCCTTTTAGGTGTGAAAAGTACTCGTCGAGTGCACGGGTTTGTTGTACCGTGTCCCTATACGCAAATGCCCCAATGCCGATTATTAATCACCTCGTCCGATTAAGTTCCGTCACAAAGCCATTGACACGTGCTGTATAAATACAGGGTGGCGCAAAAAATATCGACCTTGAGGAAATCGAAAGCTAATAATATTAACCTGCGGTCACTCAGCGTCGAGCGACCTGTCGGACGAGGAGAGGTAGCTGTGTCGCAGTCACTATCCAGCGGTAAAGCCGGAAGTGCAATGCGACCGGGTCAACCTAAACGTCTATACAGAGTGGCCCACCACTCTCTGACAACTTAAATAACTTTTGATCCAGTTAATATTTTTAGCTGAATTTTTTTTTAAATAATAGTTATACGTTAGGTCCATAGCTATATCTCAATAATTAATTTTTTTACATTTTATTAAAAATATTGTTTATTTTTAAATTTTAAATAAAATGAAAAAAAAAATCTAAGATAGCTATTTTGTATAGTAGAATTTAAGAAAAATTTTAGTAAAGAAATATCTTATTAATATTCAGTAGTAAATATTCTGTAGCGTTTTGAAGTTTGTGAAAATTTGAATTTTCATGTATTATTTTACGGTATTAAACATTGAAATACGTATTGAGACAAGGACAGAAGAAAACGCTATCTTTTCATGAATACTGTGTATACATATGATGATGATGTGTATACATTACAAACTTGGCATTAATACCATGATAAGAAATTAGATAAGGCAATTATTACTTATCATTCTCATTCAAAAGTATATTGAAGGAAATTTTTTCAATTTTTGAGAGTAATGTTTTCGTCTATATACAATTTGTTATCTTTTGACATATCATTGAAAGAAATCAGTTCGGCGAGAGCTGAGAAAAAGTGATAACAGACACAAAAAAAAAATAATAAAAAAAAAAATAAAAAAAAAACACATCATAGTAAAATTAATACCTTCTCAATTTCGTATCGATGCTAAACATTTTGAAAAAAATTTTTTTAACTTATTAAAAAACTTTACAACGAAAGACCTTTTTTATGTTGAAATAACCGTAATATAACCATATCTATACTTCAAACGGCTATAAATAAAGACCGGATTAACATGTGACCTTGAAATTTTATATTTTATCTGAGCAATATACTAGAATTGGGTTTTCATAATTATTTTAACATTATGAGTACAATTTACTACACTTATGAGCGCCTAAAATTCGATTTCAGACCACTGTGCGGTCGTCCATTCGATATTTCATACTTTCCGAACGTGTTCATGAACAACATAAGCCACATAAGCCTAATATAGTATAATCGGAACATATACGTTTGTGAACAGATGATTCAAAAATGAATTATAACGTCGACAGGCGCGCGATTTGATGAGGCAGGCAGCGGCTATCCTGGGAGAGTCCTGCGACGAGCTATCAGAAAACTGAACCAGGGAACAGGTGAAAATGGCCGAAGTATGGGAGTTTAGGTCCCAACCGTTACTTTTGGTCGCCTTCGACCGTGGTATAACCGACTGGGCCCGTCGAGCAGAAACCGGAGAAACCTGGAAACGGAGCGATGGTCCAGTACAACCGCAGCCACGGCCGAATCACCATAGTGAGCGAGGGGAAAATTACGCAGATTATTAAAAACAGTTAATCGATAGTTGTATTAAATGTTATAAGAATTAATTACACCTGTATCGCCATAAATACGAAAAAATTTGTTTAAAGTAATCCTAAAAAAGTTTGTCTCGATATTCATATTTTTCAAAAAGTCTAATCTTAACTAATAGTGGTATTATATTTAGAGTCGCACCCCCACTACCAGCACCTACGAACCACCATTAATATATATATATATATTAACACACTACATACAGTAAAAAACATGTAAAAGTCTTAAAAATATGTTATAACTGATTTTGTTTATTTTTAGTTACTAATTTTTATTTTATTTTTTGGAAAACGCTCATTCGTTAAAAAATAAATTATAAAAGTTTAATATTTCATGTCAAGTACTATAATTATACTAGATTTATTATTTTATGGACAGAAAACAAATCTGATTGTATTTTATAAAATATTTTACTTGTTATTAACAATTTTTAATTTATTTTGTTTAAAATAATAATAACTTTAAAACATAATATTTGTAGTTAATATGTTGTTGTAGTCTTTGATTAATTTAATGCCACGCTCGGCTGTATCATTAACGACTCGTAAATTCCTTATAGTATTTAAAGTATTTATGTGACTATTGTTCACACTCCAAAATAATGGATCAATTTTCAAAAAATCAGTATTGAGATAAAACGTTTAAAAAAAAATAACGTTTTTTTAATACAAAGTATTTAATATCATTTTTTAGAAAATCGGCTACATCGGATTAATTTAATTTCAAACGTTTTGTTGTCTGACTTGACGTTGAATTAAGATAAGCGACCATTTTTCTTTCAACATTAACATCTATTTCATTGTCAAAAAATGCCAGCCTAATGGATTGTGGACTTAAGTACCATAAGTGATTTAAAAATTTAGAAAGCGCAATTCGGGATATTTCACTGTCTATTAATCTATAGTTGTATAATTTTTTAACAAAAATCATTGTATGGTGCTATAACTACCGAAATAACTGTTAACCACGATTCAACAGAAACTAGCACCAAAAACAAACAAACATCGCGTAATCTTTTTGTGTTATCTGCNACCAGAAACTAGCACCAAAAACGAACAAACATCGCGTAATCTTTTTGTGTTATCTGCTAATAAATTTTAATTCGTCTCTAAATATATATACTTTGAGGCTATAAATGGCCATAACCATCCATCAAGCATGATGAATAGCACCTGGCTTATGAAAAAATAGATTATGATAACTCTTTACATTGACAAAAATTAATGTTAGCTCGAGGAAGGCTTTAAAGTCATTCCTTGGCTGTCGAAAATTATTATCTTCTGACGTTCTGGTTCTATAATTTCTTTAATATTACTTTCAAAAAATTAGGGTTTAAAATTTTCTTTATTTAAATAATTCTAAGCCTACAACAGTAAGAACAACTAATTTTTCTATCGAAAATGCCTCAGTATAGTATCAAATATATGGTGGCGGCAAGGTAAATAAAGCAATTTTTTTTCTAAAAGTCGCGACTAGTCGTTCCAAAAAAACACGTGTAAATAAACCTCCTAAATAAACACTATTTACAGCAGTTGTATAGAAAGATAAAGCCTAAATGCCCGTCAACAGTATTCTAAAGGACCAACGGTAGATAGCTGGCTAGGCTATATCTACCTTAGGTACTGAGGTTTGTTATAATACATTGACCTCTCATTACAACTCTTATCTAGACAGTAAACTATGATAACTATTGTCAAATAAAAATTGTCATACTGTCACATATGGACAATATAATCAACATTATCTATTAAGCAATAAACTAAATTAATTTAAAACTTTCATGTAAATATTAAAATACACATAAATATTAACATAAATTGTCACTAATATGTCAATATTATAATGAAATAATTAATCATTGTCCAGAATAGTATGTTAAATTTTAAGATAACATGTAATAAATAATTTAATAAAGAGATATCAATAGCGTTTCTGACACTTCTTACACATGAATATAGTTATAAAAATTAACAAAACAGCAATATAAAAGGGGACAAAAAAGGCCTAAAAATGGGCAGTATACTCTCGGCATGCTCTCAGTGTCTCGTCAGTATACTCCCATGGCTCATTTTATATTGATCCAGGCGTGCTCCCAGTATTGACGCAGCTCATTAATCTCAATCGTTTAGTTCATGTGTAAGAAGTAAACAGATACGTTAAGAATCATTCAAAATAAACAGACGACTTAATTCATTCTCTAGATATCCTTTGGAAATATCAAGGTAAATGCTAATTAATTAAATTAATAAGGTTTAAAAATATTAATTCTTTAAGTACATGGTTAACATAGGGACAAAGAAATATTGAGTGATCACTAAAAAAATCACTCTGTCTTTATATTACCTTTTCACTATTCTCATAAACCCTCGAACTCATACCCGAGAAACTTTATTAAAACAAATAGTAACTTCTCTTTCCCGATAAATTAGAGTAATTTTCTTTTTGAGTTACTATAGGTTTCCTATTTAATTTATATTCCCTTAGAGGAACAACCAAGGGACACACTACAATATATATATAACACTCTTGGTTAACAACGATATAAATATTTATTAAGTGATTAAAATATTAAATAAATAATATAACCTACTGGACACCTAGAGATGATATAATCTAACAGGGAGCTGACGGCGACATACACAAACACTATATACGTAGTAGATAAGTTAAGTTAATTATAAGACAAGAGTAGTGGTCACGATGATGGTAAAAGGTCAATTGTCGATAGGGATATATTATTATACATAGGCCGTGAATTGCAAAAGTGTTTATGTGTGCAGGCGCCCTTCTGTTAGTACTGTTATATGTCACTGTGTCAATTATATATATATATCTATGTCTAATAAACGGTACAGTGATGTTATGGGAAACAGAGATATGGACACATGCTAATGTGATCGTATCAATTCCATTGGACTAAAGTTTTATATAGCAATAATGCTTGATTTTTAGACAAAATTTTATAATATAATATATTTTGTTAGGTTTGTAATTAATAATTAATTAGCTGTCCATCAAATAATAAATCTAGTATAATTATCGTACTTGGCATAAAATTTTAAACTTTTAGAATTTTTTTTTAACGAATAAGCGTTTTCCAAAAAATAAAATGAAAATTAGCAAGTAAAAATAAACAAAATCAGTTATAACGTCGTGTTTTTAAGATTTTTACATGTTTTTTACTGTATGTAGTGTTTTTGTAGGCTATTTATTAAGAAAACAATATTGAAGTTATTATTATTGAATTTCTTATAAAATTTCCTTTATTTCAGTTATACTAAGTTAAGCAAAAAAACGGTAGCACAGTGGGGTCGAGGCACAGTGTAAACAAGGCATAGATGGACAAGTATGGATGATATTTGACAGTGATTAAAATCACTATCATAAGAAACGCTTCGATGCAAATCTGTAGATAGTGTTTCATTTAGAGAAATTGGTGGATTATTCCAAAAGCAACATCAACTCTTATTTCTTTGATTTTAAAATAAAATATATGAATAAATACTAATTATAATTATTAAATTTAGTATGAAAATGATATTCAATAATTTAATATTGTAATTTAAACGGAGAAATTATAAAAATAATAAAGAAGTTGTACTTTGTTTATTTTTACGTGTATAAAAATTTAAAGGGCTTGATACAATAAAATTCAATAAAAACTGTTTGTTACTATAAATAAATGCACTGAACTACAAGGAACTTTCATCAGTAACAAAAATAACCATTCTAAATTAACTTTTCGCGATGTTTTCAAATCTGAAATTAGACTTTTTCTATCACTTCTAAGTTTTAATATTATTAAAAATTAGTATTTACATATAAAAAATTCGCATCGAAGCTAAAAAATTGGCTATTTAAGCTAACTCAAATTTAAAAATTACTTTTTCGACTTTAAAAAAGTTTAATAAGTTTAATTTCTTATGTCTTATGAACTCTATTCTATGTCAATTAAATTATAAAATATTCATGAAAGTCAGTGTATTGCCCATATAAGATATTTTAAAATAAAATAAAGTACAAAACCCAATTTTAACACAAAAATAGCATATTTTTGAATACGGTAGCCATTTACGCATAGAAGATTTTATAGTACATAAAATAAGCTTTAATTTGATATATGTTTAAAAGGCGCAGTATTTCCGGGACATTTTCAAAAATTAAGTTGAAAAAATTAGTTTTTGTAAAAAAGTTGCTATTTTAAATCCCCCCCAATGAGCAGGTTAAGTATTAGATTTTCAAAAAAATGATATCAAATGAAAGGAAAATATCTAAGGTTTTAGTATAAAATAAATTTATATTGATTTGTTTATTTTTGAAAAAGTTATGGAAGTTTTAAGAAAAAAAAGTGAAAAAAATGACAAAATTTACCAATTTTTAAATTTGTAATTTTTTTGGATATTTCCCCTATTTTCGGAGAACGAGGGAATTTTTTTCAATTTTGAAGGGTAATGTCTTCAACTAGATACGATTTGTGATCTTTTAACGTATTGTTGAAAGAAATCGGTCCAGTGAGAGCTGAGAAAAAGTGGCAACAGACATAAAAAAAAAAAAACACATCATAGTAAAATTAATACCTTCTCCGCTTCGCATCGAAGCTAAAAAAAAACACATCATGATAAAATTAATACCTTCTCAGCTTCGCATCGAAGCTAAAAAGTCATGAGACATAGATCAGTTATTTCTTTTAATTTGCCTCATAAACTCAATTTAATAAGCTCGGAGCACGGGTTAACCTTTATGGATCGGTCCCGAATTTTGCACAAATCATTAAAAAAAAATTAAGGGGTAGCGTAAAAAAAAAAAAGACATTCGATTTTAAAGGTCATCCTAATATACATATATATATATATATATATATATATATATAACGAAATGTTTATTTTAGTAGTTTAATGATTCTACAAATGCAGCTTCGTTATTATTTTGAGTAGTACTAATTCTATTTTTATTTTTATTTTTATTATATTTATCCATTTAGTATAGAGTTTTTTTATTCGTTTAACTATGTGACAAATATGCTTTATTAAAATATTTGTTTTTGATTATATTTCAATCAACTGTGTCGCACACATTGAAGCACTAACTGATAATGTCTTTTTGTTACATTTGTGAAAATAAAAAAAATAGCACAGAACTTCACGTTTTGATGGAAGTCGATTACCAACGATCGTTTTAATTGGGGTTATAACAAACTGATAATTTTTGGACTTGGCACTATTCCTTCATAAGTAATGATTGTTTTAATAATATAGAGCATTTTTTGAGACGTTTTTGAAACTAAAAAGCACAATACTAAAAATTACCCTATTTTACCCAAGTATCAATACAGAGGTATTGTAGAGCAACCAGTCTAGATTTAAAAAATATAATTTTTTATTGCGGCGGACAAAAATAACTGCGCATAAGGCTAATAAGATAAAACCAATTCGTACATTTTTTATTTACAATTAGCTTTCATTTATTTCATTTTCTGATATTGAATTGTTTAGGTTATTCATTTCATCTTCTACTATGTTTTACTAAATTTATATCTATTCATGTTATGTTCAATTTTCAAATTATTTTAGTTGTTTGACAACATTTATGATTTTTTAAGATAGTTTGGCATTTACAATCGATAGACATGTCCCATTACGTTGATCTACGTTATAAATAATACAACTTGTTTGTTTCTTGTAACGTTTTATTGAGAATTTTATGTTTAAGCTATTAATTAATTGTGCTGTTTTAGCAAAGTACATTTTTTTTTTATGTAAATTGCCAAATTTTATATTTATTGTTATAAATTTTATAATTCAATTCATTTTATTATTCAAATAAATTTTTCATTTAACGATATATATTGTCTTTGAGGGTATTGTTGTCGATTGTTTAGAATTCAGGATCTGTTGAAAAATGTTTGACGAAAATAGGTTAAATGCTAAGGAAATTTAGGGAATTAATAAAAATATATATAAAGGCTGATTGGTTAACTATGACTCACAAATTATTTCTGAAAATATAAGTTATTAATATTTTTTTTTTGAAATATTATGATTTTATCTTGGGTTGCTCAGTGAGTAAAATTATAGTTTTATGATCATCCCTTATGCTTTAAATCAGTATCAACTTTCAGTTTTCAAATAGTAACCCTATTTTTTTTATATAATCAGATAAAATTTAGCTAAAAAAAATTTTTTTGTAAAAACTTTTTTATTTTATTAAATTTTCAGTGAACTACGATTCATTAAAGTTAAGGGGACGTGAGTATTACTCGCGTTGATTTATAAAAGACGCACAAATTTTACGGATCGTAAACCGATAACCGAGAACAAGAACATATACCAATAGTTCTTATTGGTACATTAAACATTAATCTTACTATATTTATCCGACTACTGTTTTATCTGTTAAATCCCCTAAACTTTAAATAGTGATATCTCGTTTAAAATTTATTAAAATTAATTTTTTCCTTTTTGAGAAATTTTTTTTTTTGTTTAAAAAGATTATTAAAAAAAACTGGGTTATTATTTGAAAAACTAAAGTTGATATTGATTAAAGAATTAAGGGATGAAGATGGAATCTTTATTTTTCTTGTCAAGTAGTTCAACAAAGTTTTATAATAAATAAATAATTACATATATGGTAACACTAATATTTTTAAAGAAAATTTGTGAGGCATTGATAGTCAATCACTCTGTATAATGGTAAAATTAACATTCGCAATGGAATTAAAATTTTAAATTAGGATTACTGTCAAAATAAAATAGATTATTTAAAATTGTTGAAACATTTTAATCATATTTAAATTTTTAAAACTAATTTGCCTTGAAATAATAATATATTTTTAACATAAAAAGGACACCTAAATAAATAAAAATGTAAAAAGACAATATTGTGACTTACTTTTAGCTTTAAACAATTTTTTTTCTAGAACAATATTAAAAAAATTGAATTTTAAGCTTAATTGTCTTTACAATTTTTCTAATAAGATAAAATATTATTTTATATTAAGATATATATATATATATATTTTTTTTTTGTCGATACAATTATAAATGTTTTCTATAAAATTGCGTGAAATTAGCATTTTAATACTCTATGCAGTTGTGTTTATGGAAGCAAATTACAATATTAATATTTATTCGTATAGTAAAACAGCAATAATTAATAGCATTTGCCAATACGATGGGTGGCGCCAACTAACTTACATAGATGGTGTGCATTATCGTAGTTTATATTATAAATTAGATGATATTTTTACGACTGTCACTCGAAATATGACCAAAAAAAAAATACGTGCCGCTGTTTTAATACTTGGTTGTGCATACGCTTATGATTTAAAAAAAATATTCATTATGGTCAAAGAGTATAGTGACATATGTCAAAAAACTTTAATTCAAAAGGATAATACTTATGAATGTACAACAGATTTATTGAAGATAACTAAGAAAATAACTTTATTGGCAACAGTCATGAAAGGAGCATTGATTGCATTGGATGTGATATATAGAACATCATCAAATGACTCAACATACGATTATATATTATATCATTATTTGTCACATTTACAGAAAGTTGAAAACGATATTGTTCATTTCCCTCAATCGCAAGATAAACTATTGAATGATAGAATAATCTTATCAAAAATTAATTGTGTTTTTAATAGAGAGAAGAGAAATATTAAAAGTGAAACAATTAATAAATTTAAAGAATGTAAATTTAATCAAAATATATCTGATTCAATATTGCAAGAATTGAAGACATTAACTTATCAAATACCACAAAATGAAAAAAAATTCGAATATTTGAATAAAAATATTAATGATGAAATTGAAAAAATTGTTACAGAAAAGTTTTATAATTTAGGCTTTTATTTTAACATAGATATTCAGATGATTGATGTACGAGTACCAGACGAAAATGTTAATAGTACGTTTTTTTAATTATTAATAAGATACTTGAAAATTTATATTTTCAAAATTTGACATTCAAGGGGTAATCATATCTATATTGTTTCAAATAGTTCTAGATCTTAAAATTTGATAATTTAAATATTTATATTTGTAGAATAATAAACGCGTAGGTACTACAAACCAATAAAATTACTTTTAATTATTTTTTAAAATAATTACTTTTTCAACATTTCAAATCTTTCTGCTTTGAATTAATATTTCTAATTTTTCTTTAATTGCTTAAATTAACTCATTTGATTTTAGCTGAGAAGGTATTAATTTTACTATGGTGTGTTTTTTTTTGTGTTTGTTACCACTTTTTCTCAGCTTTCATAGAACCAATTTCTTTCAATGGTACATCAAAAAAACACATATCGTATTTAGTCGAAGACATTACCTTCAAAAATTGAAAAAATTTCCCTCGTTCTCCGTGAAGGAAATTTCAATTTTTGTTCGTTTATCATAACCACTCAACTTCTTAAAAATACAATAAATTTCGGAAATATTTTTTATGTATTTTTTTAGTTTCATATTTATTTATTTATCAATTATTAAGTAGTATTTCTGTTCATCCCTTTAATTTTGTAGAGGTATGAACTTTATTTTTTAAATGGTAACTCACATATATAACAGTTTTATAATATATATAATGATCCAATAAAGAAAATGTAACTGGTATATAACAACTTTTGGACCAGTACTACGAAAGTTATTCACATTTTAGTATATTGACTGGAGGTGAAGCGCAAATACTACTATTTTTACCATTTGTCCTTTCTCAACCACACTACACCTCCTGCATTGGTAGAAAAATGGCAATAATATTCGAAATTGTGATTCAAAGATTATATACCAGATTATATATATACTATATACCAGTCATTTTGTAATATTCAATCTTTTAAAATATGTATGTCGCAATTAAAAAAAAATTAACACCCCAAAAAAATATAAGCAATGAAACAAAAAAGTGCTTAATAATTTTTAAATCAAGAAATGTACAGAATGTGATTGAAAAGTAACCAAACTTTTCTTGTAAAAAAATTTGTATAGAACTTTTTGTTAAATACACTAAATATTTTTCAAAATACATTTCTTGTGCTTCAACGTAGCAGTCTTGACACTATTCAAAGAATTTTTTGAAGGCATCTTCTGAAATGATTTTCAGTTCATTGGTTATCTTTCTTTCAGGTTTTTTTTACAAGTGCCGGTACAAAAGGAAGTCCAGGTAAAATACGTCTGGGCTGTAGGTGAAGCACTGAAATTCCTTATTTGTAAGGTATGAGGTGCAGAAAAACGCTTTGTTCGTTGCAATTTCACCCACTAGGATGAACATAACCAACTGAACAAAACAAAAAAACACCCTTTGCGTGATTAGTGATGTTTACTCAACCGCTGCTCGCAACGCACTGACGCGAGTCGTGCCAAAAAGAGAACGGCCTATTTTAATTGGCCGTTATCATAATTTTTCCTTCGCCATTCATTTTTTTTTTTTTATGACGTAAGAATACCGCGGGACAGCAAAGATCGATTACTTTTCAATCACACCTGTAATTATCTTAAAAAAGCCAAAACAAAAATATTTTAAAAATAATTTTTATTACGTAAGTAATTAAGTGTGCTAAGATAAACAGATTACTCTGTTGTTTACAACAAATTATAACATTCCAGAAAACAAAATTTACTTCATTTTACAATGCTGTAATGAATTTTAAATTCACACGTAATTAAGTTTAAATTTTTACTTTTTTATTTAATTTAAGGTTAAATCTCTTAAAAAAAAAATTATCTTTCTATTTGCTATTTGTTTTTAATTGCACTGATGTCGAAACATGATTTAAGTTAATTAGAAAAAAATAATACTACGGCCAGTATTTACTAATCTACCTATACATAAGTCTAATGTTTGTAATATTGTTGAGGAGATTTTTTTACTACAGTGATCGTCAGACTTTGAATTTCGACTTAGCGACTGTGTAATTTACTATCAATAGCACCAAATTAATTATTTATTCATTTTAATTGATTATAATCTCATCATTCTTTTTTATATTTAGACAGAAGAATGAAAGAAAGACAATTGTATCAGTCATATTTTATAAGATTAGGTAATTATCATATACGAGTTATATATTGTCATTTTTAGGAATTTGCAGATTGCAAGGAGTATTGAAAAATTATTTAAACTTTGTTGATATAATATTCAATTTTTTTATTTTTATGAGAAAAAAAATTTAATTTTTATCTTTGATTCAAAACTAAAAAGATAATAGTTCTACTATATACATTGTTATAACTTTCTTTTTTGTTACTTTCATCCCTTTTACTCAGATATTAGTGAACCAATATGGTCAATCAACAAATAAAAAGAACCTAATTATATCTAGTTGATAACATCATCCTTTAACATTTTTGTCAAACCTGTATTTATGCACAATTACATCAAAGTGGTTTACCTTAACGTTATTAATTACTGTCAGATTTTAATTTATATTGAAGTTTTCTAATCCGAGAATCATAAAGAAAGGGGAAATCAAAACTCCTATTAACAAAAATTTTGTAAATGTAATCAAATTGGTTAAAAAATATTTGAAAGGAGATTTTATTTTTAAAACCCTAACAATCTAAAATTCGACCTTGCCAGCCATCAACTATGCATGGTCCCATTTATATAATATGTATTTTTTAAATGTTTTAGCTTCGATACGAAGCTAAAACATTTACTATGATGTGTTTTTTTTTTGTGTTTGTTCTTCTGTCACTTTTTCTCAGCTCTCACCGAACCGATTTCTTTCAACGATACGTCAAAAGATCACAAATCGTATCTAGTCGAAGACATTACCCTTCAAAATTGAAAATGGGGGAAACCTCCAAAAAAATTACAAATTTAAAAATTGCTAATTTTCAAAATTTTTTCAATTTTTTTTACTAAAAACTACCATAACTTTTTTAAAAATGTACATATCAATATAATTTTTTTTTTATATAGATGCATGATATCATTACCTTTTATTTGGTATATTTTAATTATAAATCTGATTTTTTACCTGCCTAAAGGGGGGGATTCAAAATGACTTTTTCAATAAACATTTACTTTTTCAACTTAAATTTTGAAAGTGTTCCGGAAATACTGACACTTTTATATATATATCTTAAATTAAAGCTAATGTAATGTTCTTTATTATGGAAAAAAAAAATTTCGGACTTTATTTTGTCTTCACGGTGAAAATGGCTACCGAATGCTATTTTTGTGCTAAAATTCTCGTTTTTATATTTTACATTTTTTACTTTAAAATGTTATAAATTTTTGAAAAATGTATGCATCAACACAATTTTTTTATGAGAAATAATATATTTTAATAATCCCTTTTTATTTCAGGATATTAATAAGAAAATAACAGATCATGTAGCTTTTGGAATAATCCACCAATTTTTTAAAATTAAACACTATATAAAGATTTACATCGAAGCGTTTTTTTTTTGATAATGATTTTAATCACTGTCAGATATCATTATACTTGATCTAACTATGCTACGTCACTACTGTGCCGCGACCCCCCTGTGCTGGGTTTTTTTATTACATTTTTAATAATTTTATTAAATTTTATTAACAAAGAAAACTGTTGATTATCAGTTCGACTGTACAAATATTAGACTATAATATTATTCACCATGTTGGGGTGGGTTGGAAGTTCTACTATCGCTTAACGCTCTGAACCATACATTATAGCTGGTCTCACTAAAGTCTTATACAGTTTACACCTGTAGCCTTTGATTAATTTCCTCCCTATTTTTTCTCATCAACACTATATCATCAGCACACAACATGCACCACAGCACCTCCCCTTGTATTTCTCAAGTAATCTCATCCATCACTATAGAATATAAGTAAGAGCCTAAAACAGAACCTTGGTGGACTCCTACTCTTACTCGAAAACCTTAAGTTACTCCTCCTACGCTTTTTATCCTGGAACAAGTGCAATCATACATATCCTCTATTATATTAATGTACCTTTTCGGGATTCCTTTTTTCATTAATGCCCACTTTAAAACCTCTCTCGGTACTTTATCATACGCCTTCTACAAATATATAATTATCATACATAGTTTTTTCTTCTTTTCTTCATTATTCACTAAGCAGCTGAATGTCTCATTTTAGACAATTAAAACATTTTAGAATTAAATATTTTAAGAATACAAAATAGCAAAAACAATACTTGTTTTATTTTTTTTAATTTTTATATGAACTTTATAGGCGAATTTCGACGCTGATTTTAATTCTAGCATCAGATTTTTTTTATCATATCTAGTTTTTGAAATAATTACTAATAATTAATTAAGCAATAGTTACACAGTAAAATAATTATGAAAAAATAAAAAAAATGTTGAGTGTTGATGTTATTTAACTATGACACTAGATCTGAACTTTAAAAATCTAAAAATCGGTAAATTTGATGGAACAGTCTAATGTTTGAACTACTCTTATTAAAAATTTTGAAATAATTTAATTAAAATTAAGAAAAAATAATGTTTTTTTATGTTGATTTTACTGTATAATTATCACTTAACTACTAATTTTTAACTATTTCAAAAACTAGATGTGTTAACAAAAATAAGAAGCCGTAGTAGGAAACAGCATCAAAATTCTATATAAAATTCATATTAAATTTGTAAACTAGAAAGTGATTGTAATCCGATGTAATTATTTATTTTATAATAGAAAAAAATAAAACTGCGACCGAAGTTGAAGAATTAATGGAATTTCTTTTAGAAGGTAAAATTTTTAATTGAAATTTTTTTATAAATAAGATTAAAGGTTGAATGTGATAAATGTTCATTTTCTGTTATTAGATTAGTAGATTATAGAGGTAATTAATATTTCAGTTTAAACAAAAACTGCAAAACTCGAAAATTTTTTAATTCAAATTACATATATATATTGACGCATATTTTAAATGTTTTCGGAATAAAATATAATATTTCTATTACTTCTTGAGATAATTGATTATTAAAAATCCTATTTCCATTGTTAGTTTATAAAAGAACTGTTTTTGTTCCTGTATTTCTAAATATCGATTTTAATAGTTTTGCCACATTAGCGACAATATACTGTTTCCATAAAATAAAAAGAAGTTCTATTATTTTAGGGTTCTCACAATAAAATAGTTCTGGTAATTAGAAATCCTATTTTTAAAATTTGATTACGAAGTTTTCATATCTACAAAAAATAACTGATTTATCAACAAAATTATTATTATTTTTTTAATGTCTAAATGTTGTTTAAAAAATATCTATATATTTTTACTCTGTCAGTATTAGCGTCAAAAGAAAATATAAATGATAAAAAATTAATTGATCAAAATTCAACTAACAATGAGATCGATTAGATTCAAGATTAATTTTTGAAACCCAAGCTATAGAAAAATGAAGATAAAGTATGTCTGTTTTATTTTAATTAGATATCAAATTAAATTGCCATCATAAATTTCCTAATAATTAGCGTGAAGCAATTTAGTATAATAAACATAAATTTATTTGTAAGCATTGAAAATAAAAATATATGTATCAAAGTTAAAAAATAAAATAATATGTAATAACATGTCTTATAAAAAATATAGTTGTGTTCATTTACATTATTACTCTCATTTATTTCATTATAATGTATGATTGTTTAAAAACTTTATCACAAAATTGTCATAAAAATATGCCGGAAAAATTTTATTTTTAATTTTAAGAATTATGATAAATAATAAAACTAATTATTATAAATAAAATACTAAATTATTTTTGGCTTCAAAACCTTGAACGTATTGTATTGTATATAAATGTATTTATGTACTGGAAAACCATACAGAAAATTTTATATACGAATGAAGCGATATTAGTAAAAATAAAAATATAATAGAAACAGATAATTTGAATTTAATAAATTATTTTTTTAATTTGTTAACCGATGCCGGTCAATCATTTGTACTATTATCTAATAATTTCTATTAAAAGTATAATATTAATATAAATAAACATAATTTTTAAAATATATTCAAATGATATTCTTTTTTTTTTTAATAAACTCATACTTACAGTTTGCTCTAGACGTAAAGAAATATATATTTACTTTAACATTTTTTTAAATTTCACAGTGNTTTTGCTCATAGTTTGCTCTAGACGTAAAGAAATATATTATAAGAAATATATATTTACTTTAACATTTTTTTAAATTTCACAGTGAAAATTACAACACCAAGTTTAATATTAATTTCTTACTAAATTTAATTTCTAAAATATGTATTTATTCATGTATTCTACTCATATAACATAAAATTAGTAATTAGGATATAATTAAGAAAATATGAGTTGATATTGTTTTTGAAACTATCCAACAACTCATTCTAAAAATTAAAAACTCTATGTAAATTTGCATCGAAACGATTTTTATTATAGTAATTTTAATCACTGTCCAATATTGTTTATAATTTTCCTATCTATAATGCATCCCAATTGTGAAACGAGCTCAATGTGCTGTTTTTTTCCTTTTATTTATTAGCAGAATAATTTTAAAAATATAATTTCTAGTATTAAAAACTTCTCAATTATTCATGTTTCATAAATTTTAATGATTTTTTTTAACATGTTTAATCATTTGTTTTTATTTAAAAAATATTCATAAAGTAAATGATTTGTTCACTTATTTTAATTTAAAATACTATAAAATTAATTTTTTACAAGTGCTTAATAAATTACAAAACTTTTATTCTTAAAATTATTGTAATAATTTCCGTGGGTGATCTGTAGATTCCTAAGGTCTACCTGCATTTTTACGTTAAATTTAGTAGGTAAAATATCTGTGTTTTCAAATTGTATTCTAGGAATCGGATGCATTTTTTAAACTACTTTTAAATTTACATTTTTTTCCAATAAAATCATGCCTCAACGATACATATAGTACAATCACGAAGAAAAATCTTCAATCATAAAATAAAGTAATAAATTAGGTTATCATCAATGAAGATTTTATAAAATACAAAAATGTTATTTGAAATTTTCAATTGCATTAAAAATTAAGGTGAAATTCCAAGCAATGAAGTAGGTTTTTGTGGTAACAGCAAATTTCACATTTATGTTTATACTTGTGCATAAATGTTGATATATATGAGATTATACAACATATAATAAAAATAATTTTAGTATTGTGTATCAAGAATTTTCACACTCATTTACAATATAAAATTATTGAATATCAATTTCATACAAAATTTAATTACTATAGTAATTATTTATTCATGTATTATACTTATAAATCATAAAATATATAATCAGGATACAATTAAGGAAATAGGAGTTAATGTTGCTTTTTGAATAATCCAACAGATTCTTCTAAAAATTAACACTATTTACAGATTTTCATAAAAGAATTTATGATGATAGTGACTATAATCACCTTCAGATATCATTTATACTTATCCCAACTATAACATCTTCCTACTGTGATGGTTTTTTTTATTTTGTAGTAATTGAAGTAATTGTATATGTTTGGTACAGAATACCTTTAGCAAAGATCTAGTAGACCAGTTGTTACAAACATCGTTGATTATATTATATCGTGTGACTGCTGATCTCCAGCGTCTTGCTTCACCCACCCCTTTGCCCACCCAGCACGGCAAATCGATGACCTCCGTGTACAGTTCATTGTCGTAAGTCAGTCAATTTGTTTTATGTGTTATTCTCTTCTGTATTAAGCGCCTTCGCTTGAATGGCAAATTGTTCGGCCACTGTACGCCGTATTTTTTTATTTGTTTATTGCACCCTTGTGATCAACGTTTTCATGGCCTTGCACGTCACTAGTGATGGACCATCACTAAATATTTACATTGCCGTAGTCGCTTTTTCGCTGACTGTTCTCATCTTCCATTACGCGTCTGGATCTACACTCTGACTCGTCATACTCAGATGTTCGACACCATTACCACAAGATTTCATACAGTTTGCTCATCACTATCAACAACTTCATCTATTCAGCTGAGTTCATATTATTTTTAATGTTATTTATTGTTTGTTTTAATTAAGTTTAACTATATTTGTTTTTGTCGTTTCGCCGGCCATTAGTATTTAAGGGCCCCGCTACCCCTTAAATTTAAGATACTCTCTGAAGAATTTCTAATATATGTGGTTATTCGTTATTTTATTATTGTCTACTCTCGTTACTTATTGGATGTAAAGTTAGCCGTCGTCCCACAGGTGACCCAATAATATTCCTTCAACAATAGCGATTTAAACAGGTTTAAGGTAAAACGGCATTCTGGTGCGGTGCACAACTAGCCGTCTTAAGGACTAGCTGCCTCATACAAAACAGTATGGGGCGTGGTGTGGCGCGGTGGTCACACTAGTTGTTGACAAAACTCTAGTGTTAAGCTGCGTCTACCGACGTAGGTGAACGGATGGGTGACCATGCGTGCGCTTCTACGGTGGCGAAAAAGCACCATGTTCCCAGTGCAGAAGGCAACGGGGAAACCACTGCACTTAAATTTCCCCAGGACATACCAATCCAATTAGTATTAACCAACCAAACGGTTGTAAAAAAAAAAAAAACAAAATAGTATAATACAATCTTATATAGGGTGTTCAGTAAGTCAGGAAACGGGTTTCTATTATTCTCATTGTTTGTAACAATGAGAACAATAGAAACCCGTTTCCTGATTTACTGAACACCCTGTATATTTTTAACGATAAATGCGATGTTGTACTTTGATGTACGTGATAATTGTATAAACAGTATAATTTACATAATTATAAAGCAAGTGCTTTAAGCAATTTTTTGAATACGCTTTAAAACCTGATTTGTACTTTATAGTTAAAATTAAACTACAGCTGGGGCGAGTATTTTAATTTTAACTGAACAAATACACCATTATTTTGTTAAAATTATACAGCGTCATTATATACTTTACAAAATCTTTTGTATTTTTTTACAAAGTGTAACAAAAAATAAGTTATCGTTGAAGGATTATATAATTTTTTACATGTATTAGAGCAAAATTAGAAAAAAAACTTTAATTTTCCTTAGCATTATCTCAATGAAAACAAAATTATTATGTAATTAAAATCCACCCTACAATAAAAATAACAAATTTTCATTAATTTTTTGTGGCTTTGAGTTTAATATTTTTTAGTTTTTTAAATTAATAATATTTTTAATATAGTTTTAATTTTACTTAATTAATTAGCTACAAGTGATCAATTTTTATTATAAAGTAAATGTTTTAATTTTTTCTGAAAATTAGAGTATATTCATATAGATTCCTTTTAACCAATTTACACTTTTCTCTGGCCTGTCCCTACCAAACAGTAAATAGCTGTTACCATGTATTTATCAGAAATTAAAGCGCCATCATATAGTCATTGTAAAGAGTTATTTGGTACATTATTACTAGTATATCCTCATACTGCAATCCATGGCTAAGCTCCTGTAAACTAAAATATGTACTACTTAGTGATATTGTTTATAAACAATTTTTTATTGTTATAAAAATATAAAATATAATTTATTTAATTTTGTAGGCCGACCTCCGACAATTTGGTTAGTGATGGTAGCGTTAATATAACGGCATGAATTTTGTGCAATTTTGATGATGACACAGTTTCATAGCTTTGAAAACTGTCTGGTCTAGAAGAAAATAAAAAGGTTATTCTATTAGTCCATAAGAAAACAAACTTTTAGATCCTTTCATTCATAACCAATAAAAGAATATCAAGGAAAACTAACAGCAGCAGCCTTTTTCTGTTATTTTTTAACATTAACCTAAGTAACGAAAATCATTTCATTTTAATACAATGACCATCTT